TGTCAAGAATACTGAAATAATTTGGGGATCAACATGTATATACATTCACCAGGCACTTTATTAGGTACACCTGTACAATTGTATGCAGTTCAAGGCAACGCTTCCGCCTTAACGTCTGTGTTTATGAAGCTCAAAATATTTTGTTTTTTGGTGAAACTGTCATAAATGTATAAATTCAATTATATATTTATTATTGAGGTCATAGATAAAGGTGGTGTTGTACTAGACTACATTATGTTTAGAGATGTCTCTATATTTTTGTCCTCCTCAGCTACAGAGATGGTCTGAATATTAGGAACGCCTCTGAATACAATGTAATCTACCATGGTTCTTGTTATGTGCATGAACAGGAACAAAACAAACACTAACTTTTTGTAGTTAATGCCGAAGTCTAATGAGCTCTGATGAAAGAAAATGAATTGAATTCCTGTGGACTTGGAGGCTGAGAGCAGCTCCTCTGCAGCAGAGCAGGTGTGGGTCCAGCAGAGAGGACAGGATGGAGCTACAGACAGTAGCCAGTTTAACATAAGCATGCAGTCTCATTCTGACTATGATAATATGCATTCCTAAACTATGAGTTTCTGGTCAGGGGGTTATGAAATCATTACATTCTAACACAGGGTCACACTCCTACAAAGGTTAAACTCCACTATATGCCTGTATGCTGTGTAGCAGGCTACAGACATTCAGTCAGTTAAACGTTACTCAGTAGAAATGGCTCCAGTGTTATGTTTGTTATCACAGAAAGTTTTCAGGTAATTTGCACAGCCTCGTATTGCATAGATCAGAAAGTAATTCTCATGAAATTAAACTATGTCTTAAGTCATTTCACGATTTATGTAGAACAATGTGTTTAGCATACTGTAGATATGGGTAGATCTGGGGTTAACAGTGCTGCTGTTTAGCTCAGTTTTAGTTTTGACACGTTTTTGTCAAGTCTTATGGATGGACAGAGATAAAAAAGCAGAAATTCCTGTATCATCAGGCAGAGGATAGAGGGACTATCGAGAGTGAAAAGAGGTGAAATGAGGAGGGGGGAGATGCTAGATCATGGAGAAGCGATAAAAATAGTTTTCCCTTCTGCACTCTGGAAAACCGACATGAAAATGTGTGGATGGGGTTTTCCAGACGGAGTTTGAAGGGGGAATGGTGTTTGTGTGAGGGAGACAGATATGAAGGAAAAATATTTGTGTGTCTGTAAACACACACCACTGTGTGTTGTCATGCTGTAGACTGTAATCAGTTTTATACTTCTATCTGCGGGAACATGAGTGGAGTATTTACCTCCATTGTTTTGTTGGCAAAAAAAGGTCAAAATGATAAGACTGATTCAACACTGTAGTTTAATCTGTGTTCTAAATAGTGCATGTACATAGACATTTACATATGGACTACCCCCTTCCCTCATGATGTGGTGCAATGGTTTGTTCCGCTGATTTTGTGCAAGTGGGGGAGGGGGTCGAATACGATTTGACTGGATAATCCATGGATTTAATATCCCCTAATCCTGGCACAATCCGCTCTGCATTACTGCATGGAGTAAGATTAACTGTATGTGTGCAGTAGGTGTTTCTTTCTGTGTGCACAAAAAAGTGAGTACCCTGGGAGTGGGGACAAGTGTAGTGTATGTTGTGTGTGTGTTTGTGTGTGCATATGTAAGTGGTATGAATGGTGTGTGTATCTGTATTAGCTCTGCAACATGCAAATGGAGCTGTGTTTGCATGCAGGGTTTGGCCATGCATGTATGAGTGGATGTGCCTCCAATGAGTGTGAGAAGTCAACCGAGCTCACACACAATCATATATCACATAGCTTGACCTCATGCGCCACTGCACTGTCGGTCATATACGAATTCACTTCCCTCAGAGATAGAGAAGCTCTGTCTTTCAGTGAAGGCTTCTTAATATGCAGCACATGGATCAAACCCCACTACAGTATGAAGCCAGTGCCTTATACATTTGCAGATGGTTACTTTTAATTAAGTCTTAATTGGAATGTGAGTAATTAGAGGATAATTTGAATTGAAAGGGGTATGTGGCTGTTCATGTGAGTTTGAGTAAAAGAGAAAGAAAGACTGAATGGTGTACAGTGTGACTGACTAGCAGGGACTGTATTTGCATTTTTCTCTTGGGCTCAAGAAAATTTTAATTACTCTACTACTATAGATTCAGTTCTCTCACCTTCTACTCTCCTTTCTTTGCTCAGATCCAGCACACACATACTTCTTCCTCTGGAAACTGCCCACATCTTTTCATTATTCTCATATATTTCCTCTGTTCTCATACATTTTTACTACAGCTCAGCACTCATTTGTCCCCTGTGTTACATTATTTTACAACTCAAAGACAGAGGTAAAATGGTTGGGATGCTGTGGAGGATAGTATGAAGACAGTAAACCGCTCCTCATCACAATTTTTTTGTTTACCCAAAGAGCACAGCAGTCACTACTGGCAACCGGCATCCTTGTTTACCTACCCAATGTGCCGTCATATGATTGCCATGACAACGAGCTGGTTGCCATGCCAATTTTCCGATGCCATTGTGTTGTCTTTGTAGTAGCAGTGTGCATCTATCACCTGCTGCTTTTCCATGTCTCCTCTCCTGTTTGTCACATCTTTCGTTATGTACCATACTAAATTCATATTATGTCGAACCTTGAAAACATCAGGTCAAAAACACACACACTTACTCAGGTACAGATTGATAAGCCTTGATTGATAAGCTGTAGTTTGTAATCATTAGGTGTTTCTGTTCAGTCTGCTTTATGGTCTGAAGCGTGAGCTTGAATACTCCTAATTAGGGAAGAAATGGAAGAGGTGATGGGTGGATGGATGGATGGAAGGATAGAAAGGGTTAGTGGACACAAATCTTGATACAATCAGACTGTGCTACAACACAGCTCGAAATCAATGAACAAGATGGGATTAATCAATGAGTAGATAGCACAAGATGGATGGCAGCATGGATGGACAGCAATAACACCAGGACTCTGATATGATGGATGGATGGGTGGGTGGATGGACAAACGGTGGGAATCCAAGGTCACACAAAACTGTTAGGGTAGAGTGTGTATTTTTGTAAGTTTATGTTTATGCTGATATCTCAAGTCAATAAGGGTGTGGGGTTAAAAATGTACATCATTACTTCCAAAGCACACCTTCTCTCTCTCTCTCTGTGTGCGTGTGTGTGTGTGTGTGTGTGTGTGTGTGTGTGATTGGTGTCTCTGTGACTGTGTGTGATGGCCTTACCTTAGATCAATAGCTTTGTGGTGACAGCTAAAAGCTGATTAATCAAATGTATGGATCAGTCTCTCTCTGCTCTGCCCTCTCCTCAATTACCAGCTTCATTACATTGCCTTAACACCCTACTGGGACCTTTCTCCATTCTTCCTTCTCCTCCTCTCTCTTTCCCCTCCTTCTCCTAATCCCTTCCCAATGCTATTCCCTTCAACTCTTCTTTCCTCTGAGTTTCTCTCCCCCATATTTGAATATCTCTTTAACGATTACAGGTAACTCAGTTACAGCTCACATGTTGACTGGGCATTAATCACATGTAAGACAAGGCATTAATTATTTCCCTACTGATAACAATGTTTGATTTTTGTTTGTGACATCTCAAAGCTTGGACTAGAAAATGGAGAGTCTGCTCCACAAGCACGATGGTTTATTGGGTTTGATTTGTGTATCAATGTCACTCCCTTCATCAACCCATTCCTCTTCTTTACCTTCCTCTCCCTGCTCTATCCCTCCTCTGGATCCATTCACTTCTCCCCTCTTTTCATCACTCTCCTTCTGCAGCCTTCTCCTCCCCCACCCCATCCCTCTGGCATTAACACTCTCATTGCCTCAGTGCTATGACTAAGCACTGTGTTTGTGTGCTATGTTTTGAGGCTGTGTGTCTCTGTGTGTCTGTAAATCCTATAGGCCATTCAGAATATGTGCGTGCCTGCATTAAAACTTTAGGCAATGGATTTGTGTAAACCTGACATTTTTTAGACACAGCAAGTCACGACTGAAACACGCCCCACTCCTCCCTCCTCTCCTCTTTCTATTCTTTTTGAATCATCCTCTCAGGGGCAGCTCTGCTTTCATCCCACTCTCTGTCTTTCTGTCTCACTCTTCATGTATCGCTTCATTTTCCAGCTATTCCATTCACTCCCCAGGTTCCTCTTGGCCTTCCACCTGCCCTTTCAATCGGTCGAAGTCAGTCAGGGTCCCCCAGGCTCCTCTTTCTCTCTCTCCAATTCTCCATCCTTTTATGTTCATCCCACTACAATCTTGCTCCCCCCACCATCTCAACCTACTCTCATCCCTCATCTAATCCGTAGTTCTTCTGTAATCCAGATCAGATGGCCTTCATTCTTAATCTCGTCACTTCACAATCGCCCCTCCAATCTGTGTGTATGTGCAAGAGAGATAGAGAGAGAGAGAAATCAGCGATAGTAAGATTGTGTGTGTTTTGACACAGGGACAGGAACAAAGTTTAGACACACCTGTCACCTGCTAACCTTGATTTATCAGGGACTAAAAAAACATTTGGACACATGAAACCATAAATTCATCAGTGTTATACTTAAAGTTTCATCATTTTAAGGATTTCACTCTGGAACAAAATCATTTGTTAATACAGATCATGACCTCCTTTGTAAAATGCAATATTTCACCATTTTATAAGATACTTAATGGAAGTCATTTGATAAAAATAACATCTAAAATCTTGTCATGTGTTACATCATATTCTTAGCTCTTTATTTCACCTGTCATTTTTTTTATTTAATTATATGACACCAAAGGCCTGCAGATGAAAAACAGTAATCTGGACAATCGTAGCACAAAAATGTTGATTAATGCGCATGTTCCAGATAAATAAATTCATTAAATTAAATATATTTCAAAAATCAATAATGAGGATATTTACTGAGTGAAGTCAGTCCTAAAAATGGAAAGAGACTTGTTTATGTTGAGCATCTGTGCTGATGTTCCTGCTTATTTGTCCCTCAGATGAATCGGCCAATCCAGGTGAAACCAGCTGACAGCGAGGGCAGAGGAGGTGAGATACACACTTAAATATCTTTGCACAGCCGCACACATTTCTGAGTGACAAAGAAAGGTATGTGTCAAGCTGGATGATATAGGGATAGAAAGTCAGTGTGTTGCTTGGCAGGTTACTTGGACTCCAACTATTTAGTTAATACACACGTATACACAGACACACTGAAATCACACCTCCCCTCCCCTCTTTATTACTATTCTCTGTAATCAACACTGCTCCCTGGTGGACAAAAATTATGGCATACATAGATGGATAAATAGGTTTCTATAAGCACAACTTCATATGGATTTGGCCAAAAGAAAAACAAACACAAAGTCTTCATCAGAAATGTGACCAGTTTAAGAGAAGTCATATTAACTTTATGTCTTTTCATCCCTTTCTTTCATAAATCCTTTGTCTCTCAGAGGACAGGAAATTGTTTGTGGGCATGCTGGGAAAGCAACAGAGCGATGAGGATGTCAGAAGGCTGTTTGAGCCCTTTGGTAGCATAGACGAGTGTACTGTCTTGAGAGGACCTGATGGCACCAGCAAAGGTAACATACAATACACATGCTTATGCACAAACAAAAAGCCATACCATAACCTACCTTCGTTTAGTAGTACTTTAATTTACAGTAGTAGTACAGTAGTACTACTTTAATTTACAGTAGTACTGTAATTTAATGCAGTCTATGTGCTGTAACCGACACTGTTTTGTTGCAGGGTGCGCTTTTGTAAAATTCCAAGGACATGCTGAAGCCCAGGCTGCCATCAACAGCTTGCATGGAAGTCGCACGATGCCTGTAGGTTAAATGCATTGACATGATTACAAATCGTTAACACACACACAAGACATGCACACACCACATAATGTGTAAATGGTTTTCCAGAGATGTTTGTATCAGTCAGGTGGGAGAGATTACATTTTCTGTAGGTAATTATGTGAGTAAACTAAGTAAGCATTTGTCTGCTTTAATCCTGTCCTGGGCATCCTCTTTGTGCTGGGATGGGCTTGAGCCCGATGTGACTCATAAAGTAGAGAAAAGGATTTAATTAATTCATTAATTTGAAGGGTAGTTCTATTAAGACATAAAGAAGCTAACACATAATCTATCCATCCATCCATCTATTATCTATATTGCATACCCTGAACAGGGACGTGGGAGCTGGTGCCAATCCCAGCTGACACTGAGTGAGAGGTTGGGGTACATGCACCCTGGACCGGTCACCAGTCTATCACAGGCCTGATACTTAGAGACAGACAACCATACACACCCACACTCACTCCTATGGGCAGTTTTGAGTCCCCAGTCAGTCTAAGCTGCATGTCTTTGGACTGTGAGAGACAGCCGGAGTACGCAGAGCAAACCCACGCAGGCACAGGAAGAACATGCAAACTCCACACAGAGAGGCCAGAGCTCAAACCTGAAACCTTCTTACTGTGAGGCGACAGCACTAACCGCTGCGTCACCATGCTGCCCACTAACATAATGTTACTTGTAATTGCAGTTGAATCTTAGTTCAGTCGCTATCTCTCTCCTCACAGGGAGCATCATCCAGTCTGGTAGTGAAGTTTGCAGACACAGAGAAGGAGCGGGGGCTGAGGAGGATGCAGCAGGTGGCCTCCCAGCTCGGCATCTTCAGCCCCATGACCCTCAACTTCCCTGCCTATAATGCCTATACACAGGCGGTCAACGCACAGGCAAGCAATGCACACAAGAACAAACACTCAGTGTATTACACACACACATATACAGTGTACACGCAAGTTTGTAAGGGGAGCACTGTGCTTATGAAAGGATGTAATAAGTTTGAAGAGGCTATCAGTGGTCTAATTGGGGCTAATGTTATTACCTAGACAACAGAACATACGTCATCTGGCATTAGCTTTCCCGCAACACACAACCATTAACCCACTGACTCAGGACATAATGGCCTTGTAATTAGATCTCTATTCATCTGTTCCTCCATCACTCCTTCCTCTCATTTTTCCCCTCTCTATCTCTCTCTTTCCCATATCCATTTAACTGTCTGTCTTCTCTCTCGCCCTCATTTTTCCTTCTCTTGTCCTCCACCCCCTTTGCTTTCCCCATCCCCTTCCGCTTTCTGTGTTTCCCTCCCTGTCTGCAGCTTGTCCAACAGCAGGCCCTGGTTGCCCAGTCAGCATACTTGTCTCCTGTGGCAACAGTCGCTGCCGTACAGATGCAGCAGATGGCGGCTCTCAATGCCAACGGAATCATTGCCACACCCATTACACCCATCACACCGTCCTCTGTTAGGGACACACACACACACACACACACAAAGGAATTTGTGTATGGTCACGCAGAAGTGTTTTTTTCCATTAGATGCTTTGCTTCATCAGAAGAAAAGAAAAGAAGAGAACTGTTGCTGTTTAAAGTACAAATGCTTTCATGGATTTATAGTACTTTTACATAAACATAAGATAATATCATAAATGATGCATAACTAAGAATTCTGAAGCACTGTAAACAGATGTAGTCTTCTACAAGGTATTGTGAAAGACTTACAATGCCATAAACTTACTGTCTGGGGTATAATCTATGTCTATAGGTACAAACACTCCTCCAACTATTGCAGCTACGCCTGTGCCAGCTCTTCCTCCACCAATAAGTGTGAATGGTTACAGTAGTGTGCCAGCCCCAACCAATGGACAACAAGCAACAGAAACACTATACACCAATGGTGTTCACCCATATCAAGGTATTTAAATAAGAGCAGAGTATTGCAATTTAGACAATAAACTAAGGAAAAAAATCGAATGGGATTTATCACCACATTGCTTGTAGTTTTTCATTCTCACTTTGTTTTTCATTTTCTTTCTTTCTAGCTCAGAGTCCAGCAGCAGCCTTGGACCCCCTGCAACAGGCATACGCAGGCATGCAGCACTACACAGGTTGGTGTATGGACAAATTAAAGCACTGACCAAGTTAGTCTGAATTCTTCAAATATATTATCTGGTTAACAAGACATATAAACAGCTGGTCAAAATGTAATACAGCTATTCCTACCTTTACACCATCTGTAAATGTCAGAACAACTCTGTCATTATTTATCAGACTTTCTCAGTTCAACTGTTACAGTTTATAGTTTTCACCTTCAGCATGAGACCTTCTAGTTCAAACAAGATTACCCTATTGGACACTGCTATGTTGCCACCTGTTGTTTTCACCCAATCAGATTTTATTACTGTCTGTCTCCTCCAATAGCAGCGTACCCTGCTGCCTACGGATTGGTTGGACAGCCGTTCCCCCAGCAGCCAACACTGGTTGCACAGCAACACCAGCAGCCCCAGCAACAGCAGCAGAGAGAAGGTAATGAGACTTCCTGTGTGTCTTGGGCCACACCCTTTTTCAAATTTAAAGTTGTGTTTATCAAGAGGGTTTCACAGCCTGAGATCATTTATCACACTCTGCCAAATATGTGTGTGTGTGTCCCAGGTCCAGAGGGGTGTAACATCTTCATCTACCACCTGCCTCAGGAGTTCAGCGACTCTGAGATGCTGCAGATGTTCCTGCCCTTTGGCAATGTCATCTCAGCAAAGGTGTTTGTGGACCGTGCCACCAACCAGAGCAAATGTTTCGGTGAGACACACAGACAGTGGAAAAAGAAGGGCGGAAAAGAGAAAGCACTAGAGAAGGGAAAGGACTCTATGTGGAGGAAAAAATATTGTGTAAATTTCTCTGCCTAAATGAAGGTGATACTGTTAGAAATTAACCTGTTCTTTTGTTGGAAGCATGAGAAGTGATGACAGGAGAGGACTGTTTAAAATCAGCAGAAAGTTTACTGAATGTCTGATCACAGGTAGGCCTTACAGTGAGACAGAGCTCCCGCAGGAGTTCCATCCACTGACCCCGAATTAAGGTCTTACAATACATTTTATCTTCTTGGGCTGCTCTGCACTAAACAAAGGTACAACAATTCATGCATTGTAATCCTATTGGTCATTTGGTGAGCAGGAGCTCACACCTCCTTGCTGGAATGTGATCTACACCAGGTGTTTGTGTGTGTGTGTGATAAAGCAGAACTTGGAATATGCTAAGTGGGTTTAGGTGTGGGTGCAAAACAAGCCAACTTGTCTTTGTTAAAATGTGAATTGGCTGTCTGGTCACAAAGAGATGCAGACATCTAGTCTCTACACAGAAGTTACAGCATTCAAAGTAAGCTGGGCAATCATCAATACAGCTGTAATATCATAAACAAGTAAGATAAAGTTATGAAAGGTAACTAAAGGGAACTAAAGATATGAGAAGTAACTAAAGCTTATAAAGTAACTAGAGTCTATAAGACTCAAATCTTACAATTCCCCCTTTTGACATGATTTTATCATGTCAATCAAAAAGCAGTGGAGAATTATAAACTGTATTGGGGGACTGACCTGAATGTCAGAGACAAATCAGTCAACTAACCAAAGGGAGCATAAGGCCCCCTTTTGGAGTCTCAATGTAATGTAAACATGTCTTCACTGCTAACATACAACACTGTGTTACCAAAAGCATCTGTCCACCTGTCTTCTCATGCAAAGGAGCATGAGTCACAGCCGATTTTTGACCCATAGGGTCCACATTGGTGCTGGCCCACTCTCTGCAGTTAAAACAGCTTCCACTCCTCTGTTGAGATTGTCCATGGAGTCCAGGAGTGGGAGGCTGTTCAAATGTCTTGGTATGTTGAAGCCTCAAGAGTCCTTGTTACTGGATCTAAGAGACCAAGCACAGTTCCTGAGAAGCAATTTCACCTCATGAGCCAATGCCCTGCATTGCATTCGATGCTGTTGGTGTGGATGTAGCAGTTCAACCGTGGAGCCCCCGTTCAGGGAGCTCTCCATGTCCTGGGGTAGGGTCACTCTGAAAGGTCACATGAAGTGTCAGGACCAGACCCATTGCACCAGTGGCATCCCATCATGGCACCATGCTGGAGTTTGTTGAGTTCCTGAAAGCGACTGATCCTTTCACAACTGTCTGTAGAAGCTGGATGCATGCCTGGGTGGTTGATTGCACCTGTAGCTATGGAAGAGAGTGGGGCACCTGAATTCCATAATTTGGAGGGGTGGATGAACACCTCCGGCAGCACAGTGCACATGTCAGCGGCTACATGCAAGCAGATTTTCATTGTAACTGCATCAGGCAGCATTCTTCAATTCACAAGCAACTGGAAGAAATAAGCAGAATGAATAACACAAAAATGGAAAGATACAAATAAAGCAATCATCAAAATGGAAAAATAAAATGCAAAACCATACATAAATTCAAAACAATAAAAAATGGAAATGAACAAATAAGGCAAACAACTGAAAGATGGAAAATTAATCAACAGTAAGGTCTTCCTAAATATCAGAGCATGAATCGTTCATATTTCTTTTTTCAATGCAAAATGGGAAAAATTTAAAAACAAATATAAAAGTGGTAAATTAATAAGCCGAGCAATCGACAGTAAGTTCATCCTAATTAACCAGAGTATCAATCATTCATCATATGTCCTGCAATAGTAATCTAATCTACATCTTCATTTACTGTGAACCACCGGGAAAGAAAAGATT